GCCCCAGGGGCTGGTGTGGGGTCCTGGGCCATGGGAAGCCCTGGGAGCCAGAGCAGGGACAGTCAGGGCTGGTGGTGCCTCCGGGGCCTGGCGCTGTCAAAGGGACAGTTAAATGGATTTCTGTTGAAGGTGGCATCATCCCTGGCTCTCTTCAAGGGCTTCTGAAAGTCCTGTGCTGGCTTTGGAAGGAGCCGGCTGGGTGCACACTTTCAAAATACTCTCACTGTGAAAACGGCGATACCCTGACTGATGTGTTCACCCTTCCCTAGCACAACATTCACAATGTAAAGCTTCATGATCCACACGTTGATGAACAGGCTGGGTCAAGGACAGAGACAAAATGTATACCACATGTAGTGTTTCTTGTTGGTTGCCTGCTGCCATTGGCGCTGGGCGCCTTCCTTAGCCTCCCTCCCTTGTCCTCAGCAGGCTTAGCCGTGTGCGCAGAGGCTTCAGCGTGCTGTAGTTGATGGCAGGGTTTTGTGTTGTTTTCCAGAGCATAAAACACAAGCAGGTTCTCTGGGCGAAGGGGCACGTAAGGATAGTATGGCTAAGATTATGCATATATTCACAGTGCTTATTTGGAAATGCATGATGAACACCCAAAAGAGTCTAAATTACACCTCACCAAAACCGCTCCATGGCCCGAACTGGTGAGGTACTACCTTAAAAGTGTGTGGCTGGGCCAAGCAGAGCCCTAGTGCAGTGCCTAGTTACAGTTTTGATCCCCTGTTGCACCTGAGTGTGAGCACAGTCATGGGCTGATGTCGGCTGCCATCAGTGCCCCTCCGCAGTCAGTGCTGCAGTGCAATTAAACCTGACCGGTCGCTTCCTTCTGTCACAGGTATATAAGAAATACAGTACCTACGTAACACAAGTCCTAATCTAATCTAAACTGCTGATATCAGATTCTTCCACAAAACTGTTGGGCAAACCCTGTATCAGCAGAGTTCATACCTGATCAGTTATGGGCTGTTGTCCTGTGGCTAGCAGAAAGCTGGCATACATGCCCAAAGCCAGCATGCATGGTTTGCGCTGGAGTATTCAGCAGAAATCCGCACCTCTGGTCTGGGTCAAACGATAAATACTTGACAGTAAAATGATTCAGTATTAACGATGTGGAACCATAGACCTGGGCCTTTCGTTCTTGGATCATTTAGCAAAAAGTAGAGATGTCTGTGGCTTTGTTTGGCTAAACAAAAGGTAGTTTACTACATACTTGGTTGAAAACAAGTCCTTTGTATAGCTTGGTTCAGCCTTGATAATATTTCATCTGCTCATATAGGTGATTAATCTGTGCTGCAGCCTCAAGGAGATGGCAGCAATGGTTTCTGCTAATCTGTCTGAGATTAATAAATTGCATTAAATGGTTTCTTATAAAAAGATTTTGTTGTTCACCTTCTAGTTCAATCTTCATCTGACTGGAGATATTCATGCTATAACTGCTGCGAATAATTTGCTGGCTGCTGCTATTGATGCTAGGATCTTGCATGAGAACACTCAGTCTGATAAGGTGAGAATTAATTTCTAATATCCACATGACATTTATTTTTGTCAATTTTTCGATAAACTACATTTCACAGCAAAATAAGTTGATTATCTTTTTATTTTTCCACCGTGGGAATAGAAACTATCACTGAAGCCATTCTCTGTTCTACTGGGAAATTATGCTTACAGAATGTATTTTTTATGGTAAATAGCTATCACAAGATGGTTTTTAAAATAAGGATCTTATGCCTAGAACCTTATCAACTATTTCAGACTCTTCTAAATAATCTAATAAAAGATGTTTTCCCTCTCTCTAAATCTTATCCTTTTTCATAACTTGTATAAGCCTTTTAAAGTTAAAAATTGTGCTTCTGGTGTATAGTTGGCTATGATGTACCTTAAGAAGAAGGGGTTGGGGGAAAAGTAAACTGCATCCTCTTCCGTCCAGTAAGTCTGTTGTGACCTTAACACAAATGCTAAATTGAGTCTTTAAAGGGAGAAAGTAAAGGAAGGAGTCTCCTTTTTTGGCTACAGTGTTAAAACTGAACAGAGTTGTCATATCCCTTTTCCTTGGTATGACAGATGTGCATGTAGGCTAGTTTGCAAATGATAGTTGTAGTCTGAGTAGTTTGGACCTTGGCTGAAGTTTTAAAGGATTCACAATTTCTAAAATAATACCTTTTTTTGGTGAAATATAGAAACACAGTCATTTTGGTAATTAGATTTAGACTGCTAAATAATAGGCATTGCTCAAAAAAGCTGCCACCTGGTCAGAACTGGTTTTTGAATGGCTAACTGGAACTCCGCAACTTACGTGGCTGGGAAATTCTTACTGAAATTAGTCTAAATAAAATAAAAGCATTAGCTTTTTATTTAAATAGTTCATAGTTGTAACTTTTTTATTTCGTTAACATTTTGTGTGTTTTTTCTAGGCTTTGTATAATAGACTGGTTCCAGTGGTTAATGGTGTCAGAGGATTTTCTGCTATTCAGCTTGCCCGTCTGAGAGTAAGTTGTTGAAGTACTCCTTCCTCAATTATAGTCTTTATTCATAAAATGCACTCTTCTATGCAACTCATTTAAAATTATTTGATGTATGGGACGAAGTTTGTATAAGCCTCCCTCATGTATTTATCATGTCTAGACTTTTTTCTAAAAGCTCGTCTTGCAAGTAATAGAATCTGGGTCTGATATTATTTTCATAATCAACATTTTTGCTATTTTTTTCTCCTGAAATAAACCAATAATGTTTTTAAATGCTGTGTCTTTCCCGATGAAATATTGAAATGAGAGTTTTTAAATACTTTTCCTATTATGGTAAAGTCACATCTGAAAGTTCACATTCTTTGGTTTTGTGATATTTTCTGGTTTTCAAGATTTATTTTAGCATATACTTCTGGGGTTTTATTGATGTCAGTTTGACAGTGTTCATTCTTTGAGGGGTAGAAGTACATCTGTGTGCATAGTGTATTTTTGCATCCTGAATGCTTCCAGAAAAACTTCCTATCTGAAGAATGAATCTGGATTTGAGGCTGCCATTCTAAAAAATAACAAGAAAGCAACATAGTCCTGTAGCATTGGGCAAGGAGAATATGAACCCCTTGAATATGAACCTTAAGGACAACTTCAGTCTTCTGCTTCCAGTTCCATGTTTGTTGTTGGCTTTTGAGTCCTGACTAGTGTGATTTCAGAATCACTGGATGGCAATGGATAGCTGCCAAATACACACTTGGAATTGGGTGGGTGGAAAGGAGGATAGAGGTAATATCAGCTTCTGTTTTGGAAAAAAAAAAAGTAGTTTTGGAAAAAGAAAATAGTTAAATCGTTTCTCATAACATTTTAAGCTTTTGTGCTGCTTGGTTGAAAAACAGTAAACTAAAATGTGGACGATATCTGCTTGCCTCTGTGGCAGAGTAGATCTCTCAATTTTCTGTCAGAATATTGGAGTATTTTTGTCCTTGTTTACACTGTGTGTAGGATAACAGGTAGGGGAGGACGGGGAGCGGTTTGGTTGTTCATGACGTACTAGCTATCTCTGCAGTTGAAATGGATTCATTCACAGCTTTTCACATGAGCTGCAACTGAGTAAAATAAATTTGGCTTTATAACATTCAAGTGCATGCATCGTAATTTCCAATAAAACTGAATTATTTAGCAGGGAATTATTTTTAGTATAATGATTCCTTATACCTTAAAAAGAAATCAAATGTAAAAAGGTGTTTTTATGGGATAGGGTTACATTTTTTTCAAAAGAGGATTATTAAGATTGAAACTCCTCCCTTACCTGTGTGTTTTGGACTTGTAATTACAGAAGGTCCCATGCAAATTTTTTTTTTTCAAACTTCGTCTCTAACCTCAGCAGCTACCTTTCTCATTCCCCTGCTCCTCAGCTTATTTCTCTTCTTCCCAGAAATTACTAGTTCAAGACCTCCTTACCTCCTGTCTTCTATCCCAGTCTTTTCTTTGTCTCCTTGTGCACGTCAGCTCTGTATCTTACTCCCTCCTGTCTGCATTCAGATCAGTCAGCTTTTTCCTTGCTGCTTAGATCCAGCATAGATATTGTTGAGACCCTGGGAGGGACAGACTGCTTACTTTGCAGTCCCAGTGCCCAACCCTCCTTGCAGCAGTTGAAAGTTATAAAAATGACTGAAAATTTTGCTATCAGCCATCTGTGAAAAAATGCTCTGGGCAAAATGCTCTGGAAAGATGTATCTGGAAAAACGCCTGATGCACCAAGCAGGAGGTGTGAGCACTGAACTCTGGCTGCCATCCCTCAGCAGAGATGCTATTGGGATATTGCTCTTTTCTCAATCTGCCTATTTTTGTAGAATTTGTAAGAAACTATCTCCAAGACTTCTCCTAACTATGTCAAATTGGATTAAAATTGGCCAACAGATGAGAAAAATATTTATTTAGGGCTGGCAATTGAGGACATAAGCCTTTCTTGATTAAAACTGGTGTGAAAAATTTTAGGGTAGCAAGTGTCAAAACCTGCAAGCTGTTGTCAACAGCTTTTTGCCCTTCTTAGTACAGTGGAAAATGCCCCATTGCCTGCATCTGGGTTTGAAAGCATCCCTCACAGTCTGAGAGACCAATCCTCAAAAAGAAGCATAGTGAAAACAGTTTTAATATTCTCAAAATTATGTCCCCAGCCTTCTAGAAATAATTGTTGATTTAAACAAGAAAGTAAATGTGGTAGCTCTTTGAAAATGAGTATTTTTAGACTTTCAGATTTGCTTTATTTTTAGTTCTGAAGTGTAAGCATGTTGGTTATTTCACTGAGGAATGCTTTTGAATACCAGAGAACATGAAGATTTTTTTTTTTTTCAATTTAAGACTACAGTTATTAAACACAGTTTTCTGATCCAACTTTATGTAGATTCACCTGAAGAAAGGCTTGGTGTTGCTAAAATAGTGAATCTGTAAAAGCCAGGAGGTATCAACTCATTCATTATAAGTGACTGACTTTGTGGATGATGGGCTCTTAAAGCAGAAGTTATTTCGTTCAAAGATGATTCACACAAGACAACGCATGGGTCTTTTAAAGATTTCCACAAACTAGAGAAAGCAATTAGTCATCTTTTTATTAGTAACTGATAATGTTGAATTTTTGGTTTATGTTGAGTTGCTTCTGTGTAAGAAAGCAATTGCTAATTTAATGGCCTATGAGTATTTCTCCTTTTTTATTTCATTTCTCCATCTACATTTGCCCCTATTCAAGTTACAGGTGGTTTCCTGTATGCTTTTTTTTTTTAAACAGTTTGGGTCCTGACTAGCTTCTTTCCAAAATGGTTACTGAAAGAGAGGATGATAAGCCAGAGCAGCTATACTTTTTGAAGCAAAAAAGCCACTTCATTGCATTTTTTTAACTTGTTTTTACGTAGAAGCTGGGAATAAATAAGACTGATCCTGGGACTTTAACAGAAGAGGAGATCAGCAAATTTGCACGCCTTGATATTGATCCATCTACCATAACATGGCAAAGAGGTATGTACTCAGAAAGCCTCGCTTCAGCTTGGATTCAATCATAATTTAGTTCCTAATTTGCTTAATTTTACCCAAATCAGGGCTGTTTCTGCACTCTTGACTGTAAGAACAACCCATTTGCAAGTGGGAAATGTGGGTGCATAACAAATTTGGGTGCAGTATGTTGCTTTAAACTTGGTCAAATGTCTGCAGTAACACAAGAGATTTTGCTAAGATTCTGAAGGATAGGTTGCACTGACAGTTTAAGTACATCCCTTGTCTCTCTCATATAGTACATCTTAAAACATACGAAATTGGCTTTTCTGTGCATTTTACGAATCTTATCCATTCTTTTCTTTACTGTGTCTATTATGGTTTTTGATTATTTGTACTTACTCTACCTGGTTTTGGTCCCTCATCCTCCCCAGCTCAGCAGCCTCAGTAGCTCACAGACTAAATACGCCTCAGGGATTATGTGTTTTTTCTATTTTTAAAGTGTCTTGTTTTCTTTGTTAGGAAGAGTAGGTGAAAGAAGTGGTACAGCTTCAACTATGTATACCAAGCAAACCGATATCTGCTCACACAGCCTTAGACAACTCCCCTCTGCATTTTCCAGTTCTAGTGCTGGATGAAATTTCAGTGTTTACCTCGACTTCTGTATCTCTCTCTTTTTAAGCAAGTAAACTCTGCATAAGGTTTTGAGCTAAATTCCATTGGATTTTATTTTCTTCATAAGTACTCAAACACCAAAGATATTAATTCAAAATCATAGTTAAATGGAACGTATTGTGATACTCAGAGAAAGAAGGTTGAATCTGTTGAGAAGTGAGGAGTCTTGGCCATGCTTTACTGTGCCCTTTGTGTGCATGTCAAATCAGACTTGTGATATTTTTCTCAAGATAATACTGGGGGATGTGGCATAAGATGTTTTTTATTAGTCACACAATGTGTCTGGAAGAGACCTGTATTAGGACGAAGGAGTAATATAAATATTTAGTGTAATGTGACTCACCGTTTTTATCAGCACGGGTTTGGGAGGAGGCAACATTACTCAACAGCTGTTAACCTCGAGTGAGTTACTTAATTCATCTCAAATCATGTTAGTGAAACTTCTATTCCACACAACTCTATGTGATGTACATACTTAAAAATTTAAGGAAAAAATTTGGTTTTAGGAATGTTTTAGATAACTTGGAAAGTGTTTTATTTGGGACTGTTTCTGCAATCCATATGTCTGGGAAGCTTGTTATGTACCAGGGAATTTGCAGGGCAGAAAAGAAAGCTATCAGATTGTCTGAAAATTAATTTTGGTCAGGACCTGTTTCCTTAGAAATGTCACAAGCTTAAAGTTCGTTGTAATCTTATACTGACTTGAATGGGTACAACACACTGAAAAGAAGGAAAGCTTCCCCTTACTTATCCTTTCCCTGGTATTCAGATCCTGTTTATATATCTGGAGGATAAGGAAGTAGATACATTACACCTAACACTTGGTTGAACCTAAACTTGCCTGAATAGTTTACTTTGGGTAAGGAAGAGGGAAAATCTAGAGAAGGAAAAATTGCTTTTGTGGCAAAACCAGTTATTTCCTATTTTACTACTTGTAACTACAGCTGTTGGAATCCTCCTGGAGAAAGAATTCTGACCATGATGAGAAAGCTAGTCTGTTCCAGGGACCAGAAATTGTTGCAGGGGTAGTTATAATTTCAAGGTAAGGGTGTTCAAGTTAGATGATTTCACTAGGAAGGGCTGGATAAAAAGCAGCCCACTGGCTGTCCAGGCTGGTGGGAATGCTAGTTCCCGCTTTCAGCAGTGCCTGGGTAGACAGGAAAGGCATTTAGGTCTGCTCAAGGCTGCTCACGAGGGTGAGCTTCCTGAGAGGAGAAGGGGTAAGTTTGTGCTGGAGAGATCAGCTTGGCATATGGCCTCACAGTGGCATATGGTACCGCAGCTTGGTATGAGGCTGCTGCTTCCATGTACCAGCCTCTGTTCTGCAATTTCTGCCAGTACTGTAGTATTTTAGAGTATGTCTGTATATAAATAGAAACCAAAATGAGTTAACCAAATCTGTGTTGCACCATCCCTTGAGTGGAATTCCTGAAGAAATTAAGGGCCTAAATTCCATGTAGTGGGAAGAAGGCATGTATGGTATTTACAACAGCCCCATAAGAAATGCCCAAGAATGGCAAGTGGATTGAACCTTGCTTTTCTCCCAGCTCACTCACAACCCCGAACTGGGGTTATATTGGATTGAGACTCAGACTCCCTCTTGTTGTTGGGTAATTATGTCATCCTTTTCTATACAGACATATTTATTAATCTCCCAAAGCAGCAGGAAAAATGGGAGGAGGTGTTTTCACTGTCCTTCAGTACACGTGACTTCTCTGGAGGTTCCTTGATTCTCAGCTTCTAAAGGAACAGGGCTCAAATCTACGTCTACCAGAAGGCTGACTTGATTGCCAAGCTACAGGCTGAACTGATCACGAGTACTTTCCACCCTTTCTTTTAGGGCTGGTGCAAATGGAAACATTTGTAGGACTAAAGAGCGAATAAGAAAGAGGGAGCCTGATTTTGCATTCTGTAGGGATTGCCGTTCCTGGGAAGGAGAGGTCTTGGAGTTTTCCAACAAACATAAACATCCTCCTAATGTTTCTTCCTAAGAAACGTTGTGGTCAGTTCTCAGGAGATGAGAGAGCTCTTCAATTATTCTCAGTCCTTCCTTTTGGTTCCTGCAAAGGCACGTTTGAAGTTGAGTGTTGTCAGTGCAGAATTGGAGAACTTTTCTTGCGATGATTGTTAGTGAAGTTAGCAATTCCACAGGATGGTTTGGACATGCCCTTGCAGTACTGAAAGTGTTTCCAAGTTAGAAATACAGTTGTCTGAAATTGAAGTTGTGTTAAATAGCAGATGGTTGGTCTTGGCGGTTGAAAAAAAACTTCCCTTGAATGCTGTGCAGCTGAATGTGGAGTTAGTTACTGTGATGTGAAAGAAAGTGACTTGTCTGGAAGAACCAATCTGACAGCATAATCGTCCTTTAAAAGAGAAACAGAACGAGTTTAACCTTCACCATGCAGTCTTAAAATCAATTATTAACAAGTCAGTGACGAAGCAAATGATATGAGGTAGGTCTGATGTCCATTGTATTGATTAAGACAGATTTTTCTTATGTAGGTAAAATATTAATTTGTATGTTAGAATATAAAGAATCCGTTAGCTTCAAATACTGGAGTTGTTTCAACCTGTTGTCTAATGGTATCAGCTAGAAGGGAGAAACCAAGTCAGTGCTAATGCTGACACGCAGGAGCGTGGCTGGCTGTTTGCACTCACTGTTCAAGCACTGAATCTTACATGTATAACGACATGTATGCTTGCAAAAACATCCAGGTCCCTGAGTCCTTGTTAACGTGTTTTGCTTTTGCTATTCCCTTATTTCAGTGGTGGATACAAATGACAGATTCCTGCGCAAAATAACAGTTGGGCAGGCAAATACAGAGAAAGGATTTGTCCGTCAGGTATGTAAAGGCAGTTAATGTATCTCATTCTGGACAGACTTTGCTTTAGAGGCCAAGAGGTGTTTCTGCAGCTCTTTCAGCACACTTCTTTGAATAGCAATGCTAACATCTGTTGCTGTTGTATAGTATTCTTGCAGTGAAACTGATTGTATTAATGAGCAACTGAGTCCAAAGTTTCAGAAACAGAAACCAATGCATATTGCGCAAGGTCTTGAAAACACTTTAAAAAATTGCATGTGTTTGGGATTCAACATTGTCGTCCTATGAATATAAAAGGTGCCCTTCTGCCTTCATAAAGTTAGTTTGTATGATTTTTCTTACTTTTTTTAAGTCTCTCAAACTATTTATGTAGTATTTATGTAATTCAAATTGCATTTAAATTTAACTTTAAAAAATTGACAGGAGCGGTGGGTCATGTGGTGTTGGTCCCATTAGTGAGGACTGAAAATGACCATTAGCTTTTTACTCAGACTTTTCATTTCCTTATCATGCATCTCAGCTTTGGGATCTAAACTGTAAGAACTTTGAGCATGTGCTTAATTTTAATAACTGGGCTTGAAAGGATTGTTCAGAACATGAGCAAGTGTGTACTTTTCAGCAGTTAAAAAAAGCTCACCTACATTAGTGTATGAGAGCTTCTGGAAGTTTATTAAAGAACTTACTGATAAATTGAAAACCAGACTTTTCCAACACTATCTGAACAAGTGTTCCTGGTGTCATGTGGGTAAATCCATTTCTGAAACAATGCAAGTGTGGAACAGCAATGCCGGGTGGAACAAGCTCATTGTGATGATGTAGAGTTGCTCCTAATTTGATGAAGATACTGTAATCTAACATTCTGGATCATGAAATTCATGAGGTTCTGACTATTTTGAGGTCAAATAAATAGCTGTTCTGGTAGAGATAAGGCTTTCATTCATTTTGGAAATCCTATCTTTATTTTTTCTTTATGATTTTAGACCTTCTAGGCTTTTTGCCTAAATAAAGAGACCAAAAAATAGTGCTAATGTTTTTGCTCTATTCAGCAAGTAAAATAATCAAATTGGAGAGGATAACTTAAATGAGAAATCACAGAATCGTAGAATGGTTTGGATTGGAAGGGACCTTAAAGATTATCTAGTTCCACCCCCCTTGCCACAGACAGGGACACCTTTCACTGGAAATACTGTCGTCTTTTGGTTTTGAACACGAGGTAGAAACTTTTCTGTCTATAACTTACAGAAAACTCGATATTGGCTAATACTACTCTCTGATAATGGGCTGGGACTACAAAATATTGTACTTGGTACAAGTTCCTTCAACACTTGAGATGTTTTCCTATGTTTAGATTTGTTTCAGTGACTCAGTGTGGTTATTAGCTTTGAGCTAGGTTTTGCCAGCTTCATAGTGCAGCATTTTACCACTGTAATTATGTTGCTGAGTTAGATGTGGGTTGTTTTATTATAGAGTACTAGTTGACGTATGGCTGTCAAATGCTGCTTCTGTACTGTTTTGGCTAAAATGACCTTGATGCTTTCAATTTTGATATGTTGGACTGATGCATATCCATTCACATTTTAGCATGGACTTAGTGACTCGAGAAACAGAGCTAACAGTTAGGAAAACTCATTGCAGAGCCTAGCCAGAGATCCAGAGAAAACAGGACTTCATAGGTAACAGATGCATTCTATAAATATTTGGAGTGATGTTCTAGCACTGTTAAAATCAATGACACCTGTGTAAAATGGCAGAGCACAGCAGGCAGAAAAGTCTGCATTTTAATGAACAGGGATGCTGTGGTTTCTAAAGAGTATTACATGACTGATGCCCTTGATCCTGCAATTGAATCCATGTGGGTGGATCCTTTCATCAACAGAGAACTGACTTTACAGCTAAGGCTTCTGTCAGCACTTCATAGGTGGATAAAGGTTATTAGAGTTAAAATAGCACCTGCTACCAGTCTTTTGTGCCTGTTTTTTCAATTAAATATTATGTCACTCATTGAGCATCTACCTGGGATTGTTTTTTCTGTCCTTTTGCGTTTATATAGAAACAATGTTAATAAAAACATTTTTTGGTCTCCTGATAAAGTTAGATAATATTCCAGTATACAGGTCAGGCATAGATTTCTTAGGCTTATTTCCTGTCTTGCCTATGCTGCAGTGACTTACCGGGGACGTTCTTAACTTCAGAAAAGATAATAGCGTCCATGTCATCACAATGCTAACTGTGTTCACTGTGTCCCCAGCTGTTCTGTTATGTATAGAACTGCTTCCAGGGAATGCAGAAAATCTCCTTTGCATTTTCAGTATTTCATTTGAATCGCTACACTGATAATCTCAATTACAGGATTATATTTTGTTTTCTGTGGTATATACCTCTCCCTGTCTGTGCCCAATGCAGAAAAGTGTTCGGGTGTCTTCAGAAGTTTTGACAATACATGCAGGTACGTAGAGGTCACCCTGCATAGGGCTGCTTTGGGATGTAGCTGTCAAGACAGAATCTAAAAGCAGGAGCGTAGGTAAATAAAGGATAGAAGCTATTAAAGTACTAGGCAAATGGATAGCAGTGGTAAGGTATATGTTGAACAATTCTCTATGGAGATGCTTCTTAAAAACAGGCACAGCCCTCAATTTGAAGAAATTCCTCTGATATTAGTCAGTATGGGATACATCTGGTAGAGATCTGACACAGAAACAGTCCTGGGGCTTATTTTACATGGGTAGCAGTAGGAAGTCTATTACTAAATTTTTGCGTACACTTTAATTGCTTGAGATGGAGAGATTGCTAAAGAAGCTGCAGTTCTTGTTCGCCCCCAACATTGCACTCCTGTCATGTAATACATTAGTGACTTTGCCTTTCTTCTCTGTTTGCATTCTGACAGCATGTGGCCTGGGCTTTACTAATAGTAAATTAGCACAAATAACTGCTAATGTATACTACAAGCTCTAAAAGAAAAGTAAGGAGCACAGTTTTTGTTGTGCTGAAATACTGCATACTATGGATGTATTTCTACAAGAGCAATAGAACTGATGCTACATATCGTTCTTGGGGTTTTTTTTAGCTTATATATTAAGTCTTGTTTAACATCTTTATCAATGATCTGGATGAGGGGATTGAGTGCTCCCTCAGTAAGTTTGCAAATGACACCAAGCTGGGCGGGAGTGTTGATCTGCTTGAGGGTAGGAAGGCTCTGCAGAGGGATCTGGACAGGCTGGATCAATGGGCTGAGGGAGGCCAACTGTGTGAGTTTCAACAAGGCCAAATACCGGGTCCTGCACTTCGGTCACAACAACCCCATGCAACGCTACAGGATTGGGAAGGAGTGGTTGGAAAGCTGCCCAGCTGAAAAGGACCTTGGAGTAGCAGTCGACAGCTGGCTGAACATGAGCCAGCAGTGTGCCCAGGTGGCCAAGAAGGCCAATGGCATCCTGGCTTGTTTCAGAAATGGAGCGGTGCGCAGGAGTAGGGAGGTGATCGTGCCCCTGTGCTCCTCACAGGTGAGGCCGCACCTCGAGTACTGTGCTCAGTTTTGGGCCCCTCACTACAAGAAGGACATTGAGGTGCTGGAGCGTGTCCAGAGAAGGGCAGCAAGGCTGGTGAAGGGTCTAGAGCACAAGTCTTGTGAGGAGTGGCTGAGGGAGCTGGGGCTGTTTAGTCTGGAGAGCGGGAGCCTGATGGGGGACCTTACTGCACACTGGAACATGCTGCCCAGGGAGGTGATGGAGTCACCACCCCTGGAGGTGTTCAAAAAACATGTAGATGTGGCACTTCACGATATGGTTTAGTAGGAATGGTGGTGTTGGGTTGGTGGCTGGACTTGCTGATCTTAGGGGTCTTTTCCAACCTATGATTCTATGATTCATTTGTAAAAAAAAAAAAAGGGTGATGAAGATGTCTTTTATATTATCACAGGTCAAGCACAAGACCTAGCACCATAGACTCTAAATTTTGAGTCTGTGTAGAAAAAGAATGATCAAATGTAACAAGAATGTTTTTGAAATCAGAATAAAAAGCTTTTGGAAAGCATTACAGAAAAAAAACCTCTATGCTGTGCACATGCCAGCAAAACTCGAAACATATCTGGTGATTTTCTTTTTTGCCGCAGAAAAAAATCTTGGTCCTTCAGGGAGCTTGTGCTGATGATATGAGCCAAGGGGCTACACACTCTGTGAGACTGGTCCCCAAGTAAATGAAATATAACAGAGAACATTAATGAAGGAATATAAACAAAGTGTTTGAAGTTACTCCAGTCTGAGTAATCTCAAAAGCTGTAGGTTACAATTTAGAACTTGTTTGAATTCCAGTGTGAAATCTGTCTTTCCTGAGTCTATTCTTGACAACTCCCTGTGAGTATTTGACCTGACTTTGATTTGGTTTGTGATCCTCATTTCTATTTTACAGGCTCAGTTTGATATTGCTGTTGCAAGTGAAATTATGGCCATCCTGGCACTTACCATTAGCCTTCAAGATATGAAGGAGAGACTGGGGAAGATGGTGGTGGCTAATGACAAGAAAGGAAAACCAGTAACAGCAGAGGATTTGGTATGTTCAGTGCTGTAGACCTGTGAATAACCTCTGATGCGTTTGTTTTGCCTCTTGAAGCATTAAAAAGGCAGGTGCATGCCAAGGATTTTGCTTTGAACAGCACAGTCAGATATTGAAGAAAGACCTTCTGGGCCAAAACTTATTTGCAATGAGAGCAGTATGTAGAATTCATTCCTCCAACTCTCTGGTAACATCTGGTTCAGGAAGTCTCTGGTGTCCATAACCTACTTGGGTACTTTTCTGCAATTCTTAAGACAAACAAATTTGATGCTGGAGAGAGACAGAGTGCGGGCTTCTATTTGAGAAGAGCTAGTAGTGTTTGCTACTGTACTTGTAAAGTGTGCTTAGATGTTACAATGAATACTTATACCATTAAATCAGAAACAAGCTTTTCTTAATTCATAGGTTGCTGATAGTGCTTGGGACAGGATTATCTCTTCACATCTTTAAGACCTTTTCTTCCTTACTTTCATTAGTTAGTTGATGTTTCCACGTTCCCTACTTCAGCTTCTGAAAGAAGTCAGTATGTTCTTCTTTTATATCAAATTCTAGCCCTTATAGCCAGGCTATGAGTCAGTAAACAGTGATTGGAAGTTCACACATATATGTGTATGGCAGGTTCTGGTGCAGCCAGAAGCCACTGGTTAACCCTTGCAATCCAGCTGTATGCCAGGAGTGGTTGGCATTAGTTTACTGTAACATTACATTGCTTAAATTCTAAAGGCTAATGGCCAAATTAAGTTCATATATTGCAGATTGACAGCACATCCTAAATACAATAAACTTTATAATGCTTTGCTTTTCGGGGTTTTTTGTCATCTAAATCTATCTGTATAGCAACTGTGATATGTCTTGGAGCCATGCTTTCATGCCACCCTGCTGGCAATGACTGCCTGTATCGCACAGACTATGCGTGTTTTTTCCTGTTTGTCCCTTCTGTGTGGACATCTGCACAAATTTACTGTTTTTTTAGAATGAGAAAAGGAACCAGTATCCCGCCTTGTCAGCAAAGATAGCAAATCCACAAACCAGAAATACCTTCACAGCCTTAGTGGATTCCAGTTTAATAAGAAAATTAAAATATAATATCTAGCTTACCTGGATTTAAGATTGAAATTGAGAGAAGGGTACCAAAATTTCTAAGTACAGCCATCATTGAAATTCAAAGCAAAGGAACTACTCCCAGTTGTGCAGGAGACATGAAGAACCACATTTAATATTCTAGCTGAAGTTTTGATTTTCATTTTCAATTGTGTAACTTTGTCTTGCCCAAATGGAGGGGATTGGAGAATGAGTTACCGTATAATGCATATGCAAAAACTTTAAAATAATTCAGTGTCAGATTAAAACTACATTTGAAATACACGATTTTAATCTTGATGCTACTTTTGTGTGAAGGTACTTTAATGTATTAATGTTATAAAGTATGTAACCTGTCTTCAGCTACTTAATGCTAATCAGTATGATGAATAAAAACAGTTGATTTTCTGTAGCCTGTTTCATCTGTAGTTGGTCTGTGGAAATATACTGTGAAGGCTGAAATTATGAACAGTGCACATAGAACTTTAAAAATTTTTCCACCGTGTCCCTAAAATGAAAGTAGTCCTCAGCAAAATGTCTGGTACTAATTCAGTTTTCTTTGGCCTTTTTATAAACAAACTTCCTATGCTTAGCGTCTCAATCATTTGATAGGGTCGCTTGCACTGAACATATGTTTCTAGCTCTTTTTTAAAGGAGTGTTCTATATTATACAATAGAAGAACAGCCCAGAAAAAAAAAACCCTCGTCACCGTGTCGAGGATATGTGTTATGCCCTTCTGCAGCTATGCTGCTGCATTCTTTTTTGTTCTGGAGGTTCTCTTCTTCATATCATGCACAGGGGGGACTTGTGTGCATGACAGGATTGTGAAGTGCAGAATATCCTACCTCCTTTGTTGTGGGGAGTGTTACAAATTAGGATGAGAACTATGGGAAGAATAGGAAGGTGATTTTGTGGTTAAGGCAGAGAAGTGCCTTCTTGGATAGTTGATTTCTATTCCTGTGTTTTTCACAAAGCTTGTGTGTGATGCTGTGTCCGTACAAACTGATTCTTGCAGTACATCAGGAGTTAGGTGTTCCTCAGTCTGGTTTGATTCTCAAGAGCTGAACAGCTAAAATCTTATGGAAAGAG